TATCCATGTTTGTGTAAGCTAAAGCTGAGCTAAGAACATTAGCCAGCTACATACAGTTGTCCCTTTGTAACCCTTTGTAAGAATACACAAGGAAATAAAGGCTCTGGAGTAAAGAATGGAGAAAGAACAGACATATGACTTCAGACATTAGCTCCAGTAAACTACCACGGGGACAGAGCAGCTTTTAATAACTAGGTGCTGGTTATGTGTAGTGTTGATAACAAAAATGTGTAGTGTTGATAACTGAAAAGTAAAATGCATTATATTAAAATTTAGCAAACTGATTGAAAACTTAATGATGAAACAAATGATTAAAAGCATCAAGCATGTTTGGATTGAAAAAATATATCGGTCGATCCAAATTAAGACTTTTTGGAACCATAAAGAACTATCAAATTTCTATCTAACACAATAATTAAAACCATAACACTTAAATTTGGCTCTCAACTAGATGCTGAGACACATTTCAGACTATTCAAAATATGATATTTTCACTATCCCAGAATATTTAGCTTAGAGCTACATCTCTGTATACAGAGGCGTCTTTGTTCAATAACTAGTGTTTTCAGATGTTTTCAGAACATAATTTCAGGTTTCAGGTTTTTAAACCACTACACCCCAATAAATGTCAATGTTGAAGTCATTTGAGGTAGACAGGAACTGTTCAAGAGACCTTCAATAACTGCCTGAACTAAAATACTTGAATGCTGTGATCTGAGACTCCAGGACACCTCCGGTGAGTTCCTACACTGTAGGGGGCGCCACACCATCATGGACCATGAAGAGGAGAGGGGGATGAGTGTGGGGGCTTGGACCTGACACAAGCGATTTACTAAAGAGTTCAAACCACACATCTCCAGTATCTCAAGTCAACAGCAGCATCAAAACGCAGTCACACAAACAGAAAGGTTCATTTACAAGGCAAACCTCTTTTAACTAGAATATGGCATCTGCTCATTGTCTCATTTCTGTCCTTTGAGATATGACTGAACCCACACAGACAAAGCCCCATGCCTGTTTAACAGTCTCACATGTTCTACAGAATAGATAAAAATATATACTATCCACTTCACTGACTTCCAGTGTATGTTTTCTCAGTAATCCCTAATGTTTTTCAAGTTTAAAAGGGTTTTGTCATAACGCAAGCTCTTCTACACACATACGCATCTTCAAACATTCACACACAGATATATACTATATGTCATTTATATATATTTATATATTAGTAGGATTTGAGCTGAGAAGTTAGGCAAGTATATGTTCATTTGGACAAAATCATTAAAATGAGAAAGACTTCAACTCTTTTCTCTAGTTTCCTTAGAAGAGGACAAGCTTTGAGGGAAGCGCTACAACATCACGACTACTTAAGAGCATGTAGCAGGAACAGAAAAACTACACAGCAGATGGATGTGCAGTGACCAGGCCTTAACAGCAAGAAAAAATGTACAGGAGTTCAAAGGGCTCAGAGAGAGCAGAAATGGGCCAAACCATGGATGACTATAAAAGGCAACAAAGACCTAAAGCAGTAGTGCAGGTTAGCGGGGTACCAGGCTTTACCGGTACACCAGGTGAGATATGGTGCCAGACTTGAAGTTGAGCTGATGGTTGGGCACAAAGCTGTGCTGGGGATTTTTGCGTGTGCACAGGTCCTTGGCATAGAGGCCCATGCAGGAGTCACAGGAAACTTTGGAGCAGTTAACACAGGTGTGTGACGCTCCAGGCTTATTACAGAAGCCGCATCGTGAACCGCCCAAGCTCAGGCGCTCACTGCTGCCCCCCTTTGGTGTCGTCAGCTGGGACACTGACTTAGAGGGAAACAGCTTGGTGGACATCAGGGGTTTGTCCGCCATCTGAGGGTGGGGGTGTGGGTGGGAGTGGGCCAGGGTGAGGGGATGGGGGTGCAGGTGGGAGTGACTGTTTGAATAGACTGAGAGCTTGTCCTTCACTGGGATGTATCCATCCAGGGTGCGGGGGGACTTGGCATGGTACTCCTGCAGACCACAGCACGGAGCTGGGTCCACATCATGACAGGCCCCACACAGGATCATGTCACACCTCTGGCAGGACGCCATGGAGGAGCAGCCCAGACCACAGCCCTGGCACTTCACGCTGCCATGAGGCTTATGCAGCCAGCCGTCCCGTGCGTCTCGGGAAGGGGGTCTAGAGGGGGTCTGCCTCCCCCCGGTCCCACTGCCCCTCTCTGTGTACAAGTCAATCTCATCCAAAGAGGACAAGTGGTAAGAGGAATAAGGGTCAGCTGGAGAGGGTGTTTGGATGGGATAGAAGTCAGCCTCGGGGCTGTAGGAGGGGGGAGCTGCCACAGAGAAGAGAGATGCTGTGTTACTGGGGCGTAAGATTTCGTCCTTTAGGTCCTCCTCTGCATCCACAAACAGTGGTTCCTTCCTCAGACTCAGAGAGGCCTTTAACACCGGTTTGCTGACTGCAGGGTGCCAGTGTCCCGCTCCATCTGTGACGTCCACAGATTTGGAGGGTCTGCTGCCCCGTCTCAGATGGTGTGTGTGGGGTCTCTCGATGTCCAGAGGGCGGACAGAAAGTCGAGCCATGTCCGCCCCAAGGCTGTCTCTTCGCCGCAGCGCCTCAGCGCAGCCCGCAGCGTCGTCCCTGCAGCCTCGGCGCTGCTCCAGAGCATCCATCTCTGATGCCGCGCCGCGCGCCAACGCCACCACCTCACTGAGAAGTCGACACTCGGCCTGGGCCAGGAACAGCTCGAACGCCAGCTGACGGAGGTGATTTGCACCTCCAGGGTGCTCCTGCAAATGGAACTGTGATTCATGGTCACAGGAGTAGCCAATGGTGCGCATTAGTGAGCGGAGTTCAGCATCGGTAATGGCAGACTGCAGATGGTACACGTATGGGCCCGTAAAAGTCTACAAGACATAATTGAAGAGGATTCAGTATAACCACAGAATTTCTAACATCAAAACAACATAATATAGTTCAATAGGTTTAAATGAGTGAATGTGTAATAAAAAGAAAGTTGGATTTTAAGTCAGATATTGTGTTTCAATTCAGTTCAAGTGGTTGTATTATTTAAAAAATAAGTTTAAAAAATGAACTAATCTGTGATAGTACTAATATAGTAATAGTAAGATCAATCCAAGATCTGTTAAGAGGCCATGAGTACATGTTGATTGACAGTAAAGCTACTAGTAGAATGTGGAGTGAAAGAATAATGCAAAATTAATATTTATTATTAATCAACATAGTAGTAAGAATTACAGTAGGTTACCTTGATACACCTGAACTCCTTCTTCCAGGGGAAGAGCAGGAGGTTGGTGCAGATGGTTTCCAAGGTGTGAAAGGCCCTCTCCAGGCTCCGGAGATTGGCTCCTCGGTGGTAGCGCAGTGAGCTCTCCACCACTTCATAGAAGCGTACCATGCGGAAGCGTTGTCCTGGGTCAGGCTGGTAGGCCCCTAACAGGGCAGTCGCTGTTGAGAGAAGAGCTTCACTGTCCTTATGTTTGGCACTGTCCCCGCCTGGCACAGTGCCCACTCCAGCATTTTCAAACCCGTTGTTAAGACGTTTCTCCAAAGCAGCCACATACCTCCGGAAAAGATCCTCTTTAAGCTTGGCATCCATGTCGGCAGCAGACTATTAGTCAGCTGTTGTACTTTTGTGAGAACGCCTCGCCCCTTTCAACATACCCTGCACGGAGATGCTAAATTCATGCACCATCTTGTGTTATCATAATTAACTGCACATACTGGCATTAGCTCAATGGTGACAAGGTTTTAGAGAAGTGGGAGGGATTCAGACTTTAATGTCCACTCAGCAGTACATCATCCACACAAGAGATGCAGTTGTTTCAGTTGGTAGAGCTTGGCTGCAGCATGTATGTGTGAATGCATGTACGCCTTCTTAGAGCCATCTCCTCTGTAAGGTGCTGAAAGCCTGATCTGTTAGCACACAATCAGGCCTATGTAGTGGCAGATGAGCTCAATAAATTATTTTCTTTCTTTCTTCCACAATCAAAATCAGGACGGTTCTGTGGCAGCCATAAGTTTCAGTATGGGCATATTTCAAGGTCATTTAGGAGGAAGATACAGTCATATTAGTGAGGCTCTCCTTGGATCTTGCAAGCTGAAACAAACAAACAAACAAATAACAATGAATGCACTAAGCAAACTTCAACTTTCCACATACATGAAAAGAAAGAACAAATCTAAATCTAATTGGCTCATATATTCCAATAAAAAAGTTCACAACTCCCTGTCCCGACTGAGTCACATTTGTTTTAATTCCCAATTGAGGAGTCATTTGTTTTTAAATGGCCTGCAATTGGTATCAAATAAGGTCACTACGCTGTAAATGCAATCTTTAACCTACATCTTAGTATGCCCTTGCCAGAACCTGTTAATGATTGCTTCATACGCCACATAAATTCTCTTTTGGTTAAATCTTTCATATTTTCTGACGGATGGTTTTCACTGAAGCCTGTCCACATAAATACTTGTCCACACTCTGGCTCTTCATACAGATCGTATCATAGAAGACGAAGGTGCGTTCTGCGGGCTAACCATCTGAAGCCAACACGACTCTAAAAACAGTGTAGTTATTTTTAACGCACAACACACAAGGGAAGTTTAAGAAGCTAGGTAACAGTGAGTATTTTAGTGTACATAAAAGACTAACTTCACCTAACATGATGATATCTGCATGGGCCCCAAACTGAAGCAGTAAACGCCCATCTCAGCAGCGCAGCTAACGCTGCTGCTGAGGTTAGCTGTACGCTCGAGCTTGGTACAAATCTTTGGTGATTTAGGAGGCCAAATGTATGGGTATTATTCCGCGACACGTGTACATACAAATCTAACCCTAGGCCGACTCAGTGATTTTGCAGCACTGTGAGTAGAAACTGAAAATCTTACCTTTAACCAGTGCTAGGCTCGTGTTAGCGACGCCTCCTCAGCTGTTGGAAATTCCCATCTTCCCACTGCGCATGCGCACACCTCTGACAGTTCACCAGCATCAGGAGCCCACGTGCAGAGTCAGCGGCGGCATCGACCCGCAGCGTTACTTCAGCTTATTACATTCACATCACTTTCTTACATTCATTCGTGCTGCTTCGAATTGTCTCTATGGTCTAAATGAGAACAGGTACAAATACTAATGAGTCATGGGCTGCCCATGGTAACGGTTATCTTATAACATAAGCTACTTTTGGATTTGGATTTCTCTTAGCATCAAAATAAGGGTTTTAACTTTATCTTGAGATGAATAGAGGTTTCCTGTCATATCTAGAGGACTCACTATGAATCTAAAGATTGTTTATATGGGGCAAATAGCTCAATTTAGTATTGTAATTACATTATCACTCCTTGGCTCATCATCGGGTGTTTTTGTGCACCTTTTAGCTCCGCCCCTCGCGTTAAACGGAAAGAACCAGGAACTTGTGACGTGACGTCTGTACGAGAGCGGCTGGTGGGGGCTGACAGACAGTGAAGAAAAGAAATGGCGATGCTCGGAGGATTTAGCTCTGCACAGCACAAGAAAAATGCCTCCGACGGGACCGGCGACGTGTCCGAATTCCTCTGCCCCGTGTGTCTGGAAATCTTCGACAGCCCCGTAAGAACACAATGTGGCCATACGTGAGTACATATGATCCGGTTTTCCTTGTAGATTTAGATATGACACGTCTGGGTCTACACTATAGCTGCACAACGGAAATATAACAACAGCGAAAGTGTTTACTGCTAAAATGAAGCTAGAACTCAACGATCTAATCATCTGCTTTTCTTGTGTGAGGCAAAATAATTAGACTTTTACTAGAATGTGACAAAAGGTAATTCAAGCCTGACATTTCGCTTTCAGTTTTGTTTACATCAAAGGAAAGGCATCACTTGGGATTTGTAGTCCAAATCGCAGTGGCGAGAACTCTTTCAGCCTTTCAAAGGACTACAATCCCTGCGCCCTCTTGTGGCTGGGGCATGGCATTTTAACAGGCATTGGCCTGTGTGCGCTATCAGACAGGGGTTATCAACAACGCGGAAATATCAACTTTATTGATCACACTCAGGTGACATGTGATTGTTATACAAAATCAAACTGTGGTCTATAAATACACATCAACTACAGGATTATAATAAATAAGAATCTTGCATAAAACAAACTCAAATTGTCTAAAGTGGCCAACAGCAAATTACATAAATAATGACTGAAAGTTAGCCTTACAGCTGCCTACTCACAAAAAAGAATTAAAAAAATACAGGTTTGATTTTTCAGTAGCATTTTCACTGTATTTACCCCACCCACTTTTGCTTTTGACTACTACTGAGCTGCACTTGTGTTGTTTTGACATTTCCACTGAAGCGGGAATTCCCTTCATTTCCTTCCCTTCAACCTACATTTTAAAGTCTTAACTTTAAAATGAAAGTAAAAGTGGTACAATTAATGGTGGTTCATGTGGCAGCATCCTGAATAAGGTGGATATGAAGAGTGGTGAATTGTGTGTTAAAGGTGGCATTAATAATTATATAGATAGATACAGCATATTATCTGTTATAGTGTGATTAAAGCATAATGTAGCAATGTGTTGATACAAGTGTAATTTCCTGGCTCCTCTGGGCATAGGTTCTGCCATAGCTGTCTGCAGGAGTGTTTGCGCCCTCAGAAGCCTGTGTGTGCAGTGTGCAGGGCTGCTCTGGGACACTGCACTAAAGCTGTTGAGGTGGAGGCCATGATCCAAGCAACTGCAGCAGCGTGTAAAGGGTGTGGAACACAGGTATGTGTGAAACAGCCGCTTGTTCTCATGTGCAAGAGACTCATGATCCCATAACAGTCAGTTTGTTCTGACAACTGGTCAGACAATCCCTGTGCCAGTCTGCATCCACATCAGAAAGCCCAGCTAATGGGAGCCATGAGAAACATTTATGGCTTCCAGGAAATACTCTTACATTATTACTACATGCCACTGAACACCTCACACCTTGAATATTTTACTGCCATTTTGTGCTAATAATAACACTAATTGAATTTATTACACATCTTTAAGACACCTCTGTGATTGTAAGCTGCTGTTGTAGCCACAGCTGCCCTGGGTTAAAATGATGAAAGTGAGACTGCCATTCTGCACTCCCGCCGACCATCACCACTCACTCACATACTTGTCAGTGTGGGTGAAGTCAAGTGTTTTGCCTAGGGACACAAAAGTTTTGGGGCAATAACACTTTTCATTAATTCGAAGCTGCTGACATTCATATAATCACAATTTGAGAAATGAATGAATATAAATATATTAGAAATATATCAAGCGACATTTTCATGTGTAACTGCTATGGGCCTTAAAGCTCCAGTTTAAGCCAAACTCTTGACTATAGGACACACATGCAGCTTTGTTGGTGACACTGTACTTTGTAACAGGTTTGTAATGAAACAGAACTGTGAATGACTATTGTTGTTATACTTTTCTTTAGATAGTAATCAAGTTTACAATTAATTTGTTTGCTTAAAAGTGAAAGAAAACCACAGTGGATAAACAGTGAAATACCTGATTATCCAGTTGTGTTATTATAGAGAAATGTGACTGACACCCCCCACTCTTGCATGCAGTTTAGAAAACCTGTTCTAATTGTAAACCTGTCTCATTTTTGTGTGGTGTCCTCATTCTTTAGGTCGGCCTGTCCCAGATGAGAGCCCACACAGCTAGTTGTTCTAAATTCCAGGAGTACATCGAGGAAGGGGTGAGGACCACTGCCCAGACCCAACCTGCCATCATCAGGTAAAAATGAACAATTCATGACATTGCATTACTACACTGTAGAGTCATTTAAATTGGAAATGTTAGATTTCTTCCCAAACTATTCCAGCACTTAACCAAAATTATATATTATTTTAGCAAATATACTACATTGCATTAAATATTTTTTACTATTAAACTAATATTTACATCTGTTGGTTTCCAGTCCTGTACCAAACCGCTACACCTTTACCTGCCCTTACTGCAACTGCCCTAACCTGGATCAGGATGGTCTGGTGGAGCACTGTACCTCTCAGCATTCTCGGGATAGTCGCCAAGTGGTAAAAATACATTGCATTATTGAACGCTGATGATGACTATGACTGTTGTGTAAACCTGTCTCCTTGTGTAGGTGTGTCCTATCTGTGCCTCTATGCCCTGGGGAGACCCTAACTACAGAAGCGCTGACTTTCTGCAACACCTGAAGATTAGACATACCTTTTCTTATGATACCTTTGTTGTACGTATTTACTATAGTTTATGTTGTATATGCATATTTAATCAGTTGTAACACTGATTCCACTCTTGTGTTTGTTATGACAGGATTACTCCACAGATGAGCACACAATGATTCAGGAGGCTCTACAGCGCTCTCTGCTGGACCACTGAAGAATGGCAGTGGGCCAGATGGAATAAAGCCAGTGATGCTGATGTCTTGTGAGGACAGTGCTGTATCATGAAGGTGGTGATATACTTTACAATGGGAAACAGCTTCACAGAGCTCACCGTTAGGTTTCCACATAATCCTATATAAATGCCAGAATCTGTGGGTTTAGGCCTACACTCTACTGATTTATGATGCTGTGCTTCTGGTATAATAAGTTTTCTCCAGTCTGGTCTGTTGACCTGTTAAATCTTTCCTATGTACATTAATGACATATTGTCATATAGCCAACACTTCAGTGCAATCAGATATCCCCGTTGTCAATACTTGATGTTATAAAAAGGGTGTGACCACTAGGTGGCTTCCAATTGCCAGCAAATGACAAACTTTACTCAGTAAAGGTGTCAAGTAAACTTAAAATTCTATAGTGTACATTGAAATATTCCAGGGCCCACTGCACAGTATGAAGGCAGTTAAAAACAGTCATGAAGAAGATATGACTAACTGCGCAGTACAGGGCTCTGTACGAATATTATTTTTACTTGTTTTTTGTGTTATTTCATGTGTTTTGAAGATGTGCTTTCCACACATTCAGAGATCTACTGGAAAGAATAAATAATATGAGGGTTGAACCAAAGCCAGACAAGGCTGTTTGATTATTGTAACTCCCTTATGTCTTTGTGCCTGCTGGTAGATCTTACTTTTGACTTCCAAATTTCATAGGGCTAACAGTTCATCCCGTGAACCAAGAGAGGCGCCTCAATATTGGGCTTTGGCGTGTAGTGGCCATAAGAGGGCGACAGTGCTCCATGTAACAGCTTCTATCTGTAGCCATAATTAAATATCCATTATCACTCTGTATTTTGGCCACGTTTGTGTTATGTTAAAACTGCCTCTGAAACATCACTCTTTTTTTTTCTCTGGTTTAAAAAGTGATACAGTTGTTTTGTCTGATTCAGAAACACCTCAAAGAGATCCTCACTAATTTAAAACCTTCCAAAATTTTGGCATGTAAACTGATGGGTTTATAACTACTACTTTTCATACAAACTTTTATGTGTATTGTAATGACTTCAAGTTAAAGTTCAATTTCAATACAGCTCTTGGTTTAAAACAGCTGCACTTTAAATCATTTCTTGTAATATAAATAACATACTGGCTCAAATGTATTAGAATACATATATATACACTAATTTGGCATTTATTTAGTCTGTTCAAATTCAATTGGGACCTGTAAAACGTTTGAATTTTTTTCCTAAAATGCATTTAAACTGAACAGTTAAATAATAAACTAACAAATATCTTCCCACAGTCTTTTTATTTTTTTTGTGATACACTTGTATGGAATGATCATATGCGATACACATCACATACCTGTTTTTGTTTTACTGTCTAAAAATAAATCATAATATGGCAGAACTTTCCTTTGTCCATTTATCATCAATCGTTTTTGTTGGTGACGTTATTCTTTGCTGGTGCGACTCACATTCTCTGCTGTCAAGGCGCTAAATCCTGATAAATTAAACTTCTTTAATTATTTAAACCCTGGCCCTCACAAATCAGGAGCAGTGATTTATACGTGTGTGTGTACGAGACATGGGGGGAACACTCAGCTGTGATGGATGACACCACTGTGCACCAGCAGTTTAAAACCAAGCTAATGTTGCAGCCTATGACAATTCAAACACGGATCTCAAGGTGTTGAGTAAATTGCTAAGAAATTGTAAAGATTTATTTATTTGTTATTTTAACTTAATAGGCATTGTTAGTGGCACAGAGGCTGTGATTACATGCACATTCCAAAGTTGAATTATAATCAGATTTTTGGAGCTAAAAAAAATGATAATGCAATGTTAACATCAAAACCAGCAGATTTATTCCTGATCATGTCCATCTGATTACTCACGCCAAACTGTGCAGTTTGCATGGCATTTAAGTAAATTTAAGGAACTAAAAATCAGATATTAATTGTAACTGTTGCCAGTGATCTCAATATTCTGAGGGGAAGAAAAACATCATTTCAAAATGTAATAAAACAAGATAATGCTAACTGGTCTCTTTCAGTTAGTTAATAGTTAACCACTTTCTTATTTTCTAAATAGACATTGTACTCAGTGCCCCAACTTCTTTTCCATTTGTGACAATACACTTCCCACTAGATATCTGCATGTTTTTGCTTACACACGTTTAATGAACTTCATTGCCTTACTCTACTACTGATTCTGAATTTGAAGAAGTTATGTTGTTTCTACAAAGACTTTAGACAATGTAAGATCTCATATTATGTTAAAAATCATAACCAGGTTTTCTTTGTTAGAAGCAGTGTCGTGTCATATTAACACTGCATGTGCAATGTGTTTGATGTAAAGAGGACATTATCATGAAAGCTTAGGCCTTTGGTGTGCATTGTCCGCAGGGAGATATCAAATGCTCTTATATGTGTAATTACACTGGCTAAAGAACATAATACTCATACACCTTCCTCTATTGAGAATCACCAACTTTCTTGATCTTGTCCCCCCTCCCCTCTTTCTTTTAACCTCTTTTTCTTCTCTTTATTTCCCCACGCGGTCTGCTTTTCGCTCTGGGCTGATCGTGTGGAGACGGTGTGAGAACTAACGAGATCCTCGAGGTGCTCTTGGGCAGGAAGGAAGTTGCACCCAAAACACGAGAGATCCAAGTCTTTCTTGTCTATTTGGTGGCAGTGCTTTAAGCGTGTGTGTGCGTGTGTGTGTGTGAGGAGGGGAGGGGGGTGCAAGGTGGGGAATAGGAATGAGGAAGAGAGAGGGGCGAAAAGGGAAAAGAAAGAACACATTGAATAAAAATTTCATAAAGTTCAGCGTGTGGTTTCTTTGATGCGAGCGGTAAGAACAGAGTCTGCAGGCTTCGAACAGGCAGCAATTAAAGCGACATGTTCCCCCAGGCCAAATACAAGAGGCACAAGGAGGTGGCTGCTCTCTCAAGTAGATTATCACCACAGACAATACACAAATCTGTGCTCTGAATAAGTGCCCCATTTTACCTGACACATCGGAGGCAACATGTCAATACATCCATGGAAGAGGTACTGTTCCTCAGAAGCCTCGTGTATAAGCCTTCCGATCCAGATTAACAATAATTATAATGCACTGGATTTATATTTCACTTTCTGGACACTCAAAGATGCTTTACAGAGTGTTATTCATTTGCTCCACACTTGGACACGGTAAGCACTATTGTAGCCATAGCTGCCCTGAGACAGACTGACGGACTGCCAATCTGTGCCATTAGCCCCTACGACCACCACCAGCTCACTCACACACACCACACTCATACTAAACAATGTGGGTAAAGTGTCTTGCCTAAGGACACAACGGAAGTTTCCACTAGAGCCACTGCAGCCCCTCAGTGGCACCTGGTATTCCCAGCCGTAGACACTTTATTGATCCCAAAGGAAATTCAAAGTACCAACCAAACCTGGCCTGTTGACCAGATCAGGCACTGACAAGCAGAGTAAAAAAACAACGTAAGCATATACTTTACTATAACTATATATATATCTATATATATATATATATATATATATATATATATATATATATATATATATATATATACACACATATGTGTGTGTGTGTGTGTGTGTGTGTAGTTCTGTGGAAGACTGTTGATTTTCTAACAGTTCAAAGGGCTGGTTGGAGACTGCAACTTTGGGCCTAAGGTGGGAAACTAGTTTATCTCAAAAACATTTATACCCTGACATGACAATAGACAAATATCCTATTGCCTTACTTACATAGTCACTCTGGGCCATTCAGAAATATATCTTGAGTACAGGGCTTAGGATCGAATGTAAAAAACAAAACAAAACAGTAATTATTAGCAAAATTCACTATCTTTGTAAGAGTGCAAAGCACGCACAGAGATGCATTAGACAAAAAACTAAAATGGTAACTAAAAGAGCTCCACTGAGAGTATCCACAGAAGACTGACCACAATAAGTCCAAAATATTATACCAAAAACTGAATTTGAACAACCCCAGAAAATCTCTAAACTATTTTGGTTATGGGTAGTGATGTTTCCGCAAGATCAGCGACACCTGAATAAAACATTAAAACCTGTTGCTGTTTATAGATCAAGGCTAAATGTGAAATGCTTTAATGAAGATAACTCTTTAAACCTGTCTCTCCTGGTTTGGTTTTGCTGAAGTAGGTATCTGAGCAGAGGTGTGGGGCGTGTAAGAGGAGCGCTGGGGATTCGTGTGCTGTAAAATTCCTCAAAGTCAGGAGAAACAGGAAGAGCGGGATCCTCGGCACAGTGGGTCCGACCTCTGTGATGGGCGGGGGGGTGGAGAGGGGAGAGTGCCAGTGGGCTTCCCTCACATCAACCTTGGCACTGCACCAGTCTCTTCTGCTTCAGAACTGTGAACAGACACCTAACACAACCACTCACACACACATATACACACACACACATTACATTCAAGTCTAGGTGTGGGATGATACTGAAATTTGCTGTCACGATTATCACGGCCAAAATAATTGTGATTAACAATTATATCACAATAATTATTAAAGTTGCTGACAGTTTAAAAATGTTATGGCTATCAATATTATAATTTAATGTTATGAATAAGTTTCATATTTAAACTGCTAACCTTAAATGTTAATAGTAATGTACTTTCTTACAAGTGAAAAGAACAATCATCTAGAGATCACCATGGTTAAGTAGTGTTTTTACACATTTTTATCATGATAAACAATATGTTTGTTTATTGTCCAGTCCCTACTCGAGTATAAAGGAAGTACTTAATTATGTCTGCAACTAACACAGTACAACTGACCAATAAAATAATAAATACTTGATAAGTACTTTCTTTGATTGCTAAGAATACAAAACAACAATGAGGTAATGATAAATTTGTAACATAATGTAACATTTGTAACATAATTTGATCTCATAATCTCAGTTAGAAACAGGGGGGAGCATGTGCAGGACTATGTGTAATCCACAGATTTTGAAAGAACTTTCCAAACATAAAATCCACATCTTTTGAATAATTATATTGGACATGAGTCCACAATCTTGGCTTTCAAGTGCCATCAATCACACCTTTGTAACAAAAAAAACCCAACACTTTTGTAGAGCCAGTAATTACCGAATTAACCACAACATAATATCTGCAATCCCACAGTTAAAACACATGTGAACAGTGCTGTAGTTCAAATTAAAACTTAAGGCAGTTGCAAATACTGTGGTGTCATAGCATGATCTAAACTACCAGTAAGTTTAAAGATGGCTTAGATTATTTAAAAATATTCCTTTATACTGTCGGTTGTATTGTATATTCATTATTGCCGTATGAATTGCTACTGTATCCTGAGGTCACTGTTATCAAAGTCTGTGATAGGTTTTGCAGTTTCATAGAAAGATAAAACCCTCCTAATTTTTGAAATGTTCAAAATAATGTCATGTTATTTTTGATTTACAATTACAATTTGAACTGCCTGTTTTTCAAATACATTTTACTGTACTGTTTTACTGTTCATCCCAAGAGCTTTGTTGACTATAAAAGTTCTCAAAGTATTAAGATCAGTCAAACATTACAACACAACTTTATCTTCCTATATTTCTAAAACCATAAGTTCTATCAAGGGATTTGCTAATGATCACATCCTCACTTACTTACTTATTTATTTATTTGAATTCCACAAAGCCGCTGTACTAATATTTGCGAGTTTTGCCCTCAGAGGTGCCAGTGTCCCTCGTGTACGTGCATGTTGAGTTAATATGTGCCCCTCACAATGGGATAACAGAGCCATGGAGGCAAATGGATGTGAGTTTTACCCCTCGCCGTACCCCTGTAGACCAACTAACGCTGTGATTGAGTGTGTGCGCGAGACAGCCAGGCCCAGGGCTATTATTCTCCCATTAATTTTTCCATTTGAAATCAAACCTCAGCGGGCGGCCATGGGGGAGTCAGAGAGAGGGAGGGAGGGCGGGGAGGAGCAGCCTTATGGGGAGGTGCAGAGGCAGAAGTGACCAACAGGGGAGGCAATTTGGCTTTAGATAGAACTTACACGGGCCTGTTTCAATAGTGCAAAGTTTTTATCATTTCTAGTTTTTAAAAGTTAGATTAGTTTATTTTATTATTGGTAGTTAAAAACCACATTCGAAAAACATGTGCAAACAGCTCGAAGTGGACCGTGAGATATTAAAAACAACCTGAACAAAGAACAGACAATCATTTCTGAAATAAACATGATTCATAGATTACGGAGCTAAAATATTAAGGTGCTACAAGTTCAAAGTTCTGACTTATGCTCTAAAATGGGCACAGTGTTCACTGATATAAATTTGTGTTCTTGTGTTTTGTTTTGTTTTTTTTTATATTTCCTCAACAGCTATATTTCAAAAGTATGTGTCTTTATCTCACGTA